AGATTAGACAGGCCCATAAAACAAAATGAGACTAAAGAGGCACACCATCCCAGGGGCAAGGACTAGAAGGCAGGAGGAGACAGGAAAGCTGGGAATAGGGAACCGAAGGTCGAGAAGGGAGAGTGTTGACATGTCATCGGGTTGTTAACCAATGTCATAAAACAATGTGTGTACTGTCTAATAAGAAACTAGTTTGTTCTGTAAACTCTCATCTAAAGTACAAAAAAAAAAAGTTAGATGAGCTGAGGTTACATAAAAAAAAAAAAGATAATAATTACACTGACTACAAATGGCCTAAATACACCAGTAAAGAGACACAGAGTGGCAGAATGGATAAAAAAACAGGATCCATCTACATGCTGCCTACAACAGACACAACTTAGACGTAAAGACATAGACAAACTGAAACATAAAGAATGGAAAAAATATATCAAGCAAACAATAAGCAAAAAAGAACAGGAGTGGTAATATTAATTTCCAATAAAACAGAGTTTAAACAAAATCTACCATACAGGATAAGGAAAAACACTACATAATGATTAAAGGGTCACTACACCGAGAGGACGTAACCATAATGAATATATACACACCCAATGACAGTGCTCCAAAATACATAAAACAAACTCAAATATCATTGAAAAAAGAAATAGAGTGCTCCACAATAATAGTAGGAGAATTTAACACAACACATTCAGTAAAGAACAGAATATCTAGAAAGAAACTCAATAAAGACACAGAAGATCTAAAGGCCACAATCAACCAACTTAACCTCATAGACATATACAGAACACTCTATTCACCAACAGCAAAGTGTACACTCTTTTCCAACACACATGGAACATTCTCCAGAATAGACCATATGTTAGGCCACAAAGAAAGCCTTAACAAAATCCAAAACAAAGCATTTTCTCTGATCATAATGTCATGAAAGTAGAAAACAATAACAGAAACAGCAAGGAAAAAAAATCAAATACATGGAAACTGAAAAACACCCTGCTAAAAACTACCAGATAATAGAAGAAATTAAGGATATAATAAAAAAATTCATAGAATCAAATGAGAATGAAAACACACCTTACCAAAACCTTTGGAACATAGCAAAAGCAGCGCTTAAAGGTCAATTTATAGCAATAAACACTCACATCAAAAAAGAAGAAAGAGCCAAAATCAAAACATTAACCCTACAACTCAAATACATAGAAAGAGAGCAGCAAAAGAAGGTCCTCAGGCACAAGAAGAAAGGAAATAATAAAGATTAGAGCAGAAATAAATGGAATAGAGAACAGAAAAAACAATAGAAAGAATCAACAAGACCAAACGTTGGTTCCTTGAAAAAACTCAACAAAGGTGACAAACCACTGGCCAAACTGACAAAAGAAAAACAGGAGAGAAAGCAAATAACCCAAAGAAGAAATGAGATGGGTGATATCACAACAGACCCAACTGAAATAAAAAGGATCATAACAGAATACTATGAAAAATTGTACTCCAATAAATTTGAAAACCGAGAGGAAATGGATAATTTCTGGAAACACACTACCTACCTAAACTAACACAAACTGAGGTAGAAAAACTAAACAGAACTATAACAAAAAAGAAAATGAGGAAGTAAGAAAAAACTCCCAATTTAAAAAAAAAAAAAAAAAAAAAAAACTCTGGCCTGGACAGCTTCACTGGAGAACTCTACCAAACTTCCAGAGAATAACTCACACAAGTACTACTCAAATTATTCCAGAACATAGAAAAAGTAGGAATATGCTTGAGTTCATTCTATGAAGCCAGCAATACCCTGATACCAAAGCCAGGCAAACACACCACAAAAAAAAAGAAAAGAAAACTACAGACCAATGTTCCTCATGAACGTAGACACAAAAATTTTCAACAAAATTTTAGCCAATAGAATTCAACAGCATATCAAAAAAAATAATAATGCATCATAACCAAGTAGGATACATACTAGTTATGCAGGGAAAATAAATCTACATAATCTGCCATATAAATTTTAAAAAAGAATCACATAATCATATCAATCCATGCAGAAAAGGCATTTGAAAAAGTCCAACACCAGCTCATGATAAAGACTCTAAGTAAAACAGGAATAGAAGGGAGATTCCTCAACATAATAAACCAACAGCTAACATCGTTCTAAATGGAGAGATACTGAAAGAGTTCCTCTTGAGAATGGGAACCAGACAAGGATGCCTTTTATTCAACATCATGCTGGAAGTCCTAGGTAGAGAAATAAGGTAAGAAAAAGAAATAAAGGATATCCAAACTGGTAAGGAAGAGGTAAAACTCTCCCTATTCACACATGATATGATCTTATACTCAGAAAACCCCAAAGAATTCCAAAAAAAGCTACTGGAACTAATAGGAGATTTCACCAAAGTAGCAGGATACAAGATTAACATACAAAAATCAGTAGGATTCCTCTTCACCAACAAAGAGAACTTTAAAAAGGAAATCACCGAATCAATACTATTTACTATAGCCCCCAAGAACATGAAGTACTTAGGAATAAATCTAACCAGGGATGTAAAAGATCTATACAAAGAAAAGTAAAAAACACTACTGCAAGAAACCAAAAGAGACCTACCTAACTGGAAAAACATACTGTCTTAGTCATCTAGTGCTGCTATAGCAGAACTACCACAAGTGGATGGCTTCAACAAAGAGAAATTTATTCTCTCAGTCTAGTAGGTTACAAGTCCAAATTCAGTGCATCAGCTCCAGGAGTAGCCTTTTTCTCTCTGTCGGCTCTGGAGGAAGGTCCTTGTGATGCATCAGTCTTCCTTTAGTCTGGGAGCATCTCAGCGCAGGACCCTCAGGTCTGAAGGACACACTCTGCTCCCGGCACTGCTTTCTAGGAGGTATGAGGTTCCCATGTGTCTCTGCTCGCTTCTCTCTTTTATATCTCAAAAGAGACTGCCTTAAGACACTACACAATCTTGTATACCTCATCAGTATAACTGCCACTAATCCATCTTATTAGATCATAGTGATTGAATTTACAACACATAAGGAAATCACATCAGATTACAAAATGGTACACAATTATACAATACTGGGAATCATGACCCAGCCAAGTTGACAGATATTTTGGGGGGACACAATTCAATCCGTGACACATAACATGCTCATGGATAGGAAGAGTCAACATTGTGAAAATGTCAATTTTACTCAAAGTGATCTACAGTAAGAATGCAATCCTCATCTAAATTGAAACAGCATTCTTTAACAAGATGCCGAAATAAATCCAAACTTTATATGGAAAGGGAAGAGGCCTCAGATAAGTAAAGTACTACTGAAGAAAAAGAACAAAGTGGGAGGCTTCATACTACCTGTCAAAATAGCCCGGTACTCATACTGGTACAACCACAGACACATAAATGAATGGAACAGAACTGAGAACCCAGACATAAATCCATCCATGAGCAGTAGATATTTGACAAAGTGCCAAAGTCCGTTAAATGAGGAAAAGACAGTCTCTTTAACAAATGGTGCTGGCATAACTGGATATCCATCTGTAAAGAAATGACAAGATCTATACCTCACACCATACACAAGAACTAACCCAAAATGGATCAAAGACCTAAATATAAAATCTAAAACAAAAAAGACTATGGAAGAAAAAATAGGGACAAAGCTAGGGGTCCTAATGCAAGACATAATTAATATACAAACCATAACCAATAATGCACAAACACCAGAAAAGAAACTAGATAACCGGGAGCTCCTAAAAATTAAACACGCTCATCAAAAGACATCACAAAAAGAGTAAAAAGAGAACCTACAGACTGGGAAAAAATTTTTTTGCTACCACATTCGACAAGGATCTAATCTCTAATATCTACAAAATACTTCAACACCTTAATAACATAAGTAAAATAATTCAATTCAAAACTGGGCAATGGATATGAACAGACACTTCACCAAAGAAGAAGTTCAGGCAGCTAACAGACACATGAGAAAATTTTCCCGATCATTAGTCATTAGAGAAATGCAAATCAAAACTACCATGAGATACTATCTCACCCCAACAATACTGACACTAATCTAAAAAACACAAAATAACAAATATTGGAGAGGTTTCAGGGAGATGTGAACTCTTATACACTGTGGGAATGAAAAATGGTACAACCACTACAGAAATTGATCTGGCACTTTCTTAACAGGCTAGAAACAGAAAGACCAAATAATTTAGCAATCCCACTCCTAGGAATATACCCTAGAGAAATGAGAGCCATCACATGAGTAGACATACGCACAACCACATTCCTTGCAGAACCATTCACAGTAGCAAAAAGATGGAAACAAACTAAATGCCCCTCAACACATGAATGGATAAACAAATCATGGTACATACTACAATGGAATACCATGCAACAATAAAGTAAAATGATTACACAAGATTTTCATTTTATATTTTTCTGTTTTTTTCTCTAATATGCAATTAATACTTTTAAAATCAAAAAAAAAGCTAATAAACTCTATTATTCTTGAGTCTTTCTAAAGAAGACTATTCTCTGACATTAACACCAAGGTGTTTTTGCTAAGAGAGAAATCTGAATGATACCCATAAAGTCAACCCTGAAGCCTGGATATGTAACAAGAAATCACTAATTCCCCTTTAGATTCCATTCCAAATATTCCTACATTTATTGGGTCATTTTGAAACAGACCTTCTTTAGGATGTTTTAGAATGTCTACGTATTAGTAAATTCTAAAACAATACTTAGGTGGTGCAAACAGTTAACGTGCTCATTGTTAATCAAAAGGTTGGAGGCTCCAGTCCACAGAGAAGCACTTCAGAAGAAAGGCCTGGCAAATTACTTCTGAAAAATATGCCATTGAAAATTCTATGGAGCACAATTCTACTCTGACACACTTAGGATAACCCTGAGTCAGAGTCAACTCAGTGGCAACTGATTTCATGAATTAGAAAAACAATACAGAAAAACCCTTGACTCAAAGATCTGCCAAAGGATGGGGGTTGGCCTTCAGATCAGTCTCAGATTTGGGTACAGGCTGCAGGTGTCTGGGGAGCACTGTGCTCTCACTGCACAGAAGTAGGTGGCTGAGTCCCCAGGATGAGGGTCTGCAATGTGCAGTGAGAAATGTTTCTCCTTCTTATTCAGTAGGACAGTGAATCTTTGGTCTTGTTTCTTGTCTGCGTTTCCAAGAATCTGTATAAGTAACTGAGGACCTCTTCCAGGTTCTTGTTTATACCAAAGGAAGTAGGTGGAAGCACTGTCAGTATAAGTGCAATTGGAAAAAGAGCTCTCTCCATCTTGGATACTCAAGAGAGGAGGACTCTGCTCCACTTTCTCTCCTCTACCCATACCTGTACAAAAAGGAAACATCAGAAAAGGAAAATGTCATCGGTCATCATTCTCCAGAGTTTGCATTTCTTTTCTTACAGTAACCACTGGAAATCTGGAAAAGGCTAGTCTCCCCCCTCAGACTTCTAGTGAATATTAACTAAACCACTCCACTCCCAAAAGCCCTCAACTTACAGTCTAGCTGCAGCCACAAGAACAGTAACAAAGGTCCAAAAAGTGTCTTCATTGTTCTTCCAATTGAGACTTGCAAACTCCAGCCAGGGAAGCTCCTTCTTTAATCAAGTTACCTCTTCCTTTCCTCCAAAACATAGTAGTTTCTTCAACTACAAACACAGAAATGTGCTGCTGCCTTTAGCCTATTGAGAGAAATCAACCAAAAGGAAAACTTGCAGATGTTCTGCATCAGCAGAGATGCTCTGCCATCTTGTGGTCAGATCCCAAACTGTTAAACCAGCTGGTCAAATCCTCTACTCTTACCTGTGTATGAGAGACACTGACACACAAAACAGCAATAGGTCAAATAAACTAGTCTCCAAGTGTGTCTCCAATCAGGAGGCAAGTGGGTTAGCAGAAAGCAAACATAATAAAAATGTAAGTTTCAGGATTCCACTTTATCTCCTCAGCACACTGCTGACTAACTTTGAATTAATTGGAAAGAGTTGAATACTTTCCATGTTTATTCAACATGGGCTTGCTCTATTTGAAATAAGGAAAATACCATGACTGACTCTGCTAAGCCATTGAGGAGTAAAACTTTCCTTCTCACTGATCTCTTTTCAAATTGGCCAGAGAATTAATTAGCCAAATCAGCCATCTTGGTTTTGCTCTCACAGTGGAAAACCCTTTCTAAAGGTAACCTTTAAGCACAAAGATTGATGTAAAAGAGAGAGGTTCACTATATATGTCAGATACACAACCTTGTAGCCTCTACTCCTCCATTCCTGAACTTATCCCTCATCTTGCCATTCCCAGGAAATTGATAATGCTATGGGCCAAATCCCACCATTTGTCTGTCGGTTTGTTGTACTGTGGTAGTTTACATGTTACAGTCATGCTGGAAGATATGCCACCAGCATTTCAAATATCAGCAGGATCACCCTTGATGGACAGGATTCAATGGTTAAAGCTTATAGACTAAGACAGACTAGAATGAAATACCTGGCAATCTACTTCTGAAAAAATTGACCACTGAAAATCTTATGGATAGCAGCAGAACATTGTTTGATACTGTGCAGAAGGATGATCCCCTGAGGTTGAAAGTAGCTCAGAATAATAACTGCAGAAGAGCTGCCTCCTCAAAGTAGGGCTGACCTTAATGATGTGGATGGAGTTAAGCTTCCAGGACCATCATTTGCTGATATGGCACAACTCAAAATGAGGAGAAATGGCTGCAAACATCCATTATTAACCAGAACAGGGAATATACAAAGTATGAATCAAGGAATATTGGAAGTTGTCAGAAATGAAATGGAACACTTGAAGATCAATATCCTAGGCATTAGTGAGCTGAAATGGACTGGTATCATCCATTTTGAATCAGACTATCATACAGTCTACTATGCTGCGAATGAAAAAATAAAGAGGAACAACATTGTTGCATTCATTGTCAAAAAGAATATTTGAAGATCCACCCTGAAGTACAACACTGTCAGTGACAGGATATTATCCATACATCTACAAAGAAGACCAGTTAATATGACTATTATTCAAATTTATGCACCAACCACCAAATTGAAGATTTTTACCAACTTCTGCATTCTAAAATTGATCAAACATGCAATCAAGATACATTGTTAATTACTGGTGATTGAAATGCAAAAGTAGGAAACAAAGAAGGATCAGTAATTGGAAAGCATGGCTGTGGTAATAGGAATGACACAGGAGTTCACATGATAGAACTTTGGAATACCAATGACTTATTCTTTGGAAAATAGTCTAAGAGATAAATTTATAGCAATAAACATTCACATCAAAAAAGAAGAAAGGGCCAAAATCAAAACATTAAAGCTACAACTCAAACAAATAGAGAGCAGCTAAGAAGCTCTCAGGCACCAGAAGAAAGGAAATAATAAAGATTAGAGCAGAAATAAATGAAATACAGCACAGAAAAATACTGGAAAGAATCAACAAGACCAAAAGTTGTTTCCTTGAAAAGATCAACAAAGTGAACAAACCATTTGCCAAACTTACAAAAGAAAAACAGAAGAGAAAACAAATAATCCAAAGAAGAACTGAGACAGTTAATATAACAACAGACGCAACTGAAATAAAAAGAATCATAACAAAATACTACGAAAAATTGAACTCCAACGAATTTGAAATCTAGAGGAAATTGACAAATTTCTAGAAGCACATTAAATACCTAAACTAACACAAACTGAGGTAGAAAAAACTAATCAGACCCATAATAAAAGAAGAGATTGAAGACGTAATAAAAAAAACTTCCAACAACAACAACAAAAAAAAACCCTGGTATGGACAGCTTCACTGGAGAATTCTACCAAACTTTCAGAGAAGAGCTCACACCAATACTACTCAAATTATTCTAGAGCATAGAAAAGGAAGGAATACTCCTGAATTCATTCTATGAAGTCAATATAACCCTGATACCAAAGCCAGACAAAGACACCACAAAAAAAAACTACAAACCAATATCCTTCATGAACATAAATGCAAAAAATTCTCAACAAAATTCTAGCCAATAGAATTCTACAGCATATCAAAACAATAGTACATCATAACTAAGCGGGATTCATACCAAGTATGTAGGGATGGTTCAACGTCAGAAAATCAATCAACGTAATCCACCACATAAATAAAACAATAGAAAAGAATCACATGATCATAACAATCAATGCACAAAAAGGTATTTGACAAAGTTCAACACATATTCCTGATAAAAACTCTAAGCAAAATAGAATAGAAGGGAAATTCCTCAGCATAATAAAGAGCATTTATACAAAACCAACAGCCAACATCATTCTAAATGTAGAGAGACTGAAAGAATTCCCTTTGAGAACAGGAACCAGATAGGGATGCCCTTTCTTACCACTCTTATTCAACATCATGATGGGAGTCCTAGCTAGAACAATAAGGCAAGAAAAAGAAATAAAGAGCATCCAAAGTGTTAAGGAAAAGGTAAAACTATCCCTATTTGCACATGATATGATCTTACACACAGAAAACCCCAAGGAATCCACAAGAGAGTTACTAGAACTAATAGAAGATTTCAGCAAAGTAGTAGGATACAAAATTAACAAACAAAAATTAGTAGGATTCCACCCAAAGGGATCTACATAAATGGAAAAACATACCATGCTCATGGATAGGCAGACTCAACATTGTGAAAATGACAATTCTATCCAAAGCAATTTA